GTAAAAATTCCTATAGTTCTATCAAGTATAGAACAGGGTAGGGTGAGGTGAGGTGAGAAAGGGAAAGGGGTTAACAAAATAACTGTCCCTATAGTGCCTTCGAGGGCACCCCTTACCCCTAAAATGACCCTTTGGAATGAAATACAATCCATCCGCTCATAAAATGAGTTTAATACAAGTAAAAAGAAAGATGCCAAAAAAACAAAATAAATAGAAAGAATAATTCTGAAATATCAGAGATGACCACAAGCAGTATTTTGGACACAGCAATACCCCAAAAGCCCCTGGCGCACATTTCGCTAGATCAGCTCATCAGAGGGGATTTTTACGGTTCACATCCGGAAGATTAAAGTCACCCATGATGATAACTTCCCCCTTCATTGTCATTTTAGCTATTTCCTCAACTAGTAGATTATCTAACTCTTCTATTTGTCCTGGGGGCCTATAAATCACAACTACACGGTGTGATTACCAAATTCTAACGTAACCCAAGGTGACTCTGTCAGTGGCGTCTCTAGGATTCATTTTTAGGGGGGGCACATGGAGGGCCAGGGAGAAAAGTAGGGGGGCACCTTTAACCCCGCCCTCGTCGCAGTTTGACCCCGCCCCTGTTACATGTTAAGCCCCGCCCCCGACACAATGTGTTTTGTTTTTTTAATAATACCTGGTGAAGGATTCATTATTTTCCACCAGGGATTATTAAAAAAAAACAAACACATTACCCTTGATACAGTGCCATAGTTGCCAACATTTGAAAAAAAATTTCCAAGGACATTTTGCAGCACAGCTATCAATTACTGTCTAGGTATAATATCCCTGGACAGTCAGTGCTCTCTGTATAATACAGGGTTGTGTGTATAATAAATTGGGACACTCAGTGGTCCCTGTATAGTGCTGCTCTCTGTATAATACAGGTCTGTTTGTGTATAATATCCCAAGACAGAGAGCAGCACTATACAGGGAGCACCGACTGTCCCGGGATATTATACAGGCACCGGCCTGTATTATACAGAGAGCAGCACTATACAGGAAGTACTGACTATCCCGGGATATTATATATACACAGATCTGTATTATACAGATAGCTGAGCATATACCCCATGTCCCAATCTCTAGACTACTAGTACCTGTCAACAGCAGCTCCCAGATGCGTGTAACAGGGCTAAAGTGTGCGGCAGCTCACACAGATGATTCAGCGGTAAAGTGCACTCGCTGGCAGATCCAAACTGGGAATCCCTGGGAATCCAAAGCAGCCCTGGAAAAAAAAATGTATGCCATTCCTACAAGTCTATATATATATATATATATATATAGTACAGTAAGCACATAAGCTCACTGACATGCGCAAATAGGCTTACTGACAGACAAAACTCTCTGACTACAGACAAACTCACTTGTATAAACAGAAGGCTCACTACAAAGAAGATCAGGGGGACACACAAGCTCACTAAAGACAAGCTCACTGACACACACATGCTCACTAAATAGAAGCTCACTGACACACACAAGCAGTACCATTTTAACAGAGTTAAGGGCCCCTGGGCAAAGCAATGCACTGGGGCCCTTCCTACACAACTCACAGGAATTTTAAATTATTGATAGAGTCCATTACTGCTGAGTCCATACACACACACACACACACACACACACTGCAGAGTCCATACACACACACACACACACTGCAGAGTCCATACACACACACACACACTGCAGAGTCCATACACACACACACCAAGTCCAGATCCATACACACACACACACTGCAGAGTCCATACACACACACTGCAGAGTCCATACACACACCTGCAGGTACATACACACACACACACACACACAGCAGAGTCCATACACACACACACACACACAGACTGCAGAGTCCATACACACACACAGACTACAGAGTCCGTACACACACACACACACAGCAGAGTCCATACACACACACACAGACAGAGTCCATACACACACACACACAGACTGCAGAGTCCATACACACACACACACACACACACACAGACACAGACTGCAGAATCCATACACACACACACACACAGACTGCAGAATCCATACACACACACACAGACTGCAGAGTCCATATACACACACACAGACTGCAGAATCCATACACACACACACACTGCAGAGTCCATACACACACACACACACACACAGACTGCTGAGTCTATACACACACATAGACACACACACAGACTGCTGAGTACATACACACACACACAAACCGTTGAGTCCACACACACACAGACTGCTGAGTCCATACAGACACAGACTCCTGAGTCCATACAGACACAAACTCCTGAGCCCATACACACACACACTTCTGAGTCCACACACACACACACTGCTGAGTCCATACACACACAGACTGCTGAGTCCATACACACTCACAGACTGCTGAGTAAATACAAACTCACACACAGACTACTGAGTCCATGCACACACACACACACACACACACACACACAGACTTTTGAGTCCATACACACACACACAAACACAGACTGCTATGTCCATACACACAGCTGAGTCCATACACACACACACACAGACTGCTGAGTCCATACACACACACACAGACTGCAGAGTAAATACACACACACACAGACTGCAGAGTAAATACACACACACACAGACTGCAGAGTAAATACACACACACACACAGACTGCGGAGTAAATACACAAACACATACACACACACAGACTGCTATGTCCATACACACACACAGACTGCTGAGTCCATGCACACACACAGACTGCTGAGTCCATGCACACACACAGACTGCTGAGTCCATGCACACACAGACTGCCGAGTCCATACACACTCACAGACTGCTGAGTAAATATACACTCACAGACTGCTGAGTAAATACACACACACACACACACAGACTGCTGAGTCCATACATACACAGACTGCTGAGCAGTGGCGGATCCAGAGCCTGATCTCGGGAGAGGCACTTGTAGATTATTTAAAGAAATAATCCAGACACAATAACCACTACAGCTCAGTGTAGTGGTTATGGTGTCAATAGTGCCGGGACCCCCTCC